GGATTCTATAGGCGTTTTGTGAGAGATTTCAGCACCATTGCTGCACCTCTCAATGAGCTTACAAAGAAAGATGTGCCTTTTCTTTGGGGTACCGCACAGGAAGAAGCCTTCTCGGTATTGAAAGATAAGTTGACACATGCTCCTTTACTCCAACTTCCTGATTTTAATAAGACTTTTGAGCTTGAATGTGATGCTAGTGGAATTGGATTAGGCGGTGTGTTATTACAAGATGGCAAACCTGTTGCATACTTTTCTGAAAAATTGAGTGGGCCTAGTCTGAATTATTCTACTTATGATAAAGAATTATATGCTCTTGTTCGGACTTTAGAAACATGGCAACATTATTTATGGCCCAAAGAATTTGTTATACATTCTGGTCATGAATCTTTGAAACATATTAAAAGTCAAGCTAAACTGAATCGTAGACATGCTAAATGAGTTGAATTCATTGAGACTTTTCCTTATGTCATTAAACACAAGAAGGGAAAAGAAAATGTTATTGCTGATGCATTGTCTCGCCGCTATACTATGCTTTCACAACTTGACTTCAAAATATTTGGTTTGGAGACCATCAAAGATCAATATGTGCATGATGCTGATTTTAAAGATGTAATGCAGAATTGTAAAGAAGGAAGAATGTGGAACAAGTTTGTTGTTAACGATGGATTTGTGTTTCGAGCTAACAAGCTAGGCATTCCAGCTAGCTCCGTTCGTCTTTTGTTGTTGTAGGAGGCGCATGGAGGAGGATTAATGGGACACTTTGGCGTGAAGAAGACGGAGGACGTACTTGCTACACATTTCTTTTGGCCAAAGATGAGACGGGATGTTGAGCGTTTTATTGCTCGCTGCACTACATGTCAAAAAGCTAAGTCACGACTCAATCCTCATGGTTTATATATGCCTTTGCCTGTACCTAGTGTTCCTTGGGAGGATATATCTATGGACTTTGTTTTAGGTTTACCTCGAACAAAGAAGGGGAGGGATAGCATATTTGTTGTCGTGGATAGATTCTCGAAAATGGCACACTTTATACCATGTCATAAAAGCGATGATGCTGTTAATGTGGCTGATTTGTTCTTTCGTGAAATTATTCGCTTGCATGGTGTGCCAAATACTATTGTTTCAGATCGTGATACTAAATTTCTTAGCCACTTTTGGAGATGTTTATGGGCTAAGTTGGGGACTAAACTGCTTTTTAGTACTACTTGTCACCCCCAAACTGATGGACAAACTGAAGTAGTCAATAGAATGTTGTCTACTATGCTTAGGGCTGTTTTGAAGAATAATAAGAAAATGTGGGACGAATGCTTGCCTCATATTGAATTTGCTTATAATCGTTCATTGCATTCTACTACTAAGATGTGCCCTTTTGAAATTGTGTATGGTTTCCTACCTCGTGCACCTATTGATTTGTTGCCTCTTCCATCTTCGGAGAAGGTTAATTTTGATGCTAAACAACGTGCTGAATTGATTTTAAAAATGCATGAGTTAACTAAGGAAAACATTGAGCGTATGAATGCTAAATATAAACTTGCTGGAGATAAGGGTAGAAAACATGTTGTGTTTGCACCTGGAGATCTTGTTTGGTTACATTTGCGTAAGGATATATTTCCTGATTTGCGCAAATCAAAGTTAATGCCACGTGCTGATGGTCCCTTTAAGGTGTTAGAGAAAATAAATGATAATGCATATAAACTTGAGCTGCCTGCATATTTTGGGGTTAGTCCCACTTTTAACATTGCAGATTTGAAGCCTTATTTGGATGAGGAAGATGAACTTCCGTCGAGGACGACTTCATTTCAAGAAGGGGAGGATGATGAGGACATCAATACAATTGTTACACCCACAGTCCCTGCTGCTATACATACTGGACCAATTACTAGAGCTCGTGCACGCCAACTAAATTACCAGGTACTTTCATTTCTTGGTAATGATTCTAATGTTCATGAGAATATGATGCTGCCTAAATTGGATACATTTGTTTTGCTTACAAATGAAGGGCCTAGCTTGGAGAAGGATGAACATTGGAGCAAGAACAAGCATGGAGATGATGGCATGCGCAAGGGGAACAAGAACGGAGTTACAAGTGATGATTTCAGGACTTTGAAGCCACCATAATGGGTGCATGAAGCCTTGGACGAAATATACAAGATACCACTTCATAAATTTCGTCCCGAGGCTATTTTAGGTGCTGCGTCACCTTATTATTGGGCCAGGCCCATGTAATTTCAAAATACATAAGTATAGGCTATTTTTAGAGTACGTATGTGTGGGGAAACAAGAGATAGGGTTGATTTCGGACCCCTCCACCAAGGGCCACGAAATTCCCCCCCTCTTCCTCCATATATACAGCCCTTAGGGCATTGTTTAGACTTCGGGTTTTGTTTAGATTAAAAGTTCGCCATAGCTGCAACTTCGCGTACTTCATTTGTGTTCAACGACCAGACAAAGGCGTCACAGAACCCCACCTTGATCAATAAAGCTTTCATCTTATATTCGCAATATCCAGATTGCAATCTCAGTTTCTTGCTTGTTCTTCGTTTTCTCGCAGGAAACAGACCCTCGTGGTCAGGTTGATCGTGCTCCGGCGTGGTCAATAACCTCTCGGAGTTGGTTTAGCGATTGCTAAGGCACGACGTCCTCGCACGTTCGTAGTCAGATCGTCAAAGTCGACTGCCACCAAAGCGATATTCATTATCTCATCGAAAGACGGGACACCTTTGCCTCTATCATAAACATAGCAAGTTTTATTAACAGTTTCAGACTTGGCAGAAAAACAGAGCATGGCATAAACAAAATTATGAAGGCAACTTTGCGAGTTCATGCCACTCACCACAAAGCATTGCATTGACAAAACAAGCATACCAAGAGCAAGATGACATGTTCATGAAGCTAACCATTGCAAGAGCAAGTTCACATGATGCATGGATCACTAACAACAACCATGGCAAAATTGATTAACATGTTAACATTCTGCCAGGAACATTTTATAGCAAAAGTAGAGTAAGAACAAGACATGCTAGACAACTCCATAATTTCAAACAGGGGCATGGATGGATAGGGCATAACCATATGTTCAAAACATCCTTACTGAAGTATCTCAAAACAATCATGGGTATCACTGTAGCATCAAGTTTACATGGCATCAAAATAACAGCAGGACAAGGACTTAGCAAAATCCTAAGTCTCTGAAAACAACAATATTGTGGAGCCTAATTTGCATGCTCGTGCTAGTCACCACATAGATCACAAAAATACAAGACAAGCACCCCTGTAAAGATGGAATGACATAGTTAAAAACACATGTAGAGCTCATGCCCATATGATGCACACATCAAATGCAACAAAAATGACAAAACCTCATGATCTGATAAGTAGCAGCACCTAACATTTTATAGCACTCTTGCATCAATGAAAATGGCATCATAACAGATAGCAACATGCATGTAAATGCTACTGGCCTGAAGAGCTCGATGAGACGAACAATTTGATATATCATATGCATCATTCGGACCACCAAGCATGAAGATATGATGTGGTGAACAGGGGCATAAAATAACAGGGAATTGGAGAAAAACAGGGTCAACCTCGCGAGATCTAGGGTTTAGAGTCGCGGTCCATGAGGTTCGCCAGATCTGGCCGGAACTTCGCCGGAGATGGAGCGGGGAGGCGGCCGGAGGTGAGGAGGTGGCTGCAGCGGCGCTTGGGCACGAGCGGCGATCGGCGGTGACCCGCGGTGGCTACAGGGCGGCGGAGCCGACCGAGGAGTGGCGCGGCCTGCCAGCATGAGGAGCAGCGTGGCCTGCTGGCGAGCTTGCAGCGGCACCGGCGAGGAAAGCGGCGGCCAGCGTGGGATCCGGTGCGGCGGCGGGGCGACGGGATCGGGCGGCGTGGAGCGGCTTCGGTCGGCGGCGCGGATGGGCTCGCGGGGGCCCCGCGCGGGCCGAACGGGCCGGTGGAGCTGCCCACATGGCGGTCTCTGGTTGGACGGGGTGCGGCGGCGATTTCGTCTGGCTCGGGCCGGACGTGTCCGGCGGCGGAGGAGGGTAGAGCTAGGGTTTCGTCTGTGCGAAATTTCGAGGAGGGGCACCTATTTATAGGTAGGAGGAGGTAGGAGTGTCCAAATGAGGTGTGGTTTTCGCCCACACGATCGTGATCCGATGACGGAGGACATGGAAGTGGTTTAGATGGGTTATTGGGCCGTTTTGGAGGGGTGTTGGGCTGCACACAAAAGAGGCTTTCGCGGTTACCCGGTTAGCCGTTGGAGCATCAAACGGACTCCAAATGAAATGAAATTTGACAGGCTGTCTACCGGTGGTGTACCAAGGCCACTTGGCAAATCTCGTTCCATTCCGATAACGTTTAACACCCGCTCATGAAAAGAGGCAAGAGGGGTGCGCCGGTGCACGTGGGAGTGTCGGATTGCAAAACGGACAACAGGGAAAAAGCTCGAATGCATGAGACGAACACGAATGCAAATGCGATGCACATGATGACATGATATGAAATGCATGACATGAACAAAAATGCAAAACGAAGACAAAACCCCAACCACGTAAGGAAATCTCATAACTTAAAGCCGAAAATGGCAATAGTCGAAGTTACAAATATGGCAAGTTACATCCGGCGTGTTACAGCGTGGCATCATGGTGAGCTCTCCGCTTGGCCCCGATTATTCTTTCCCATCCATTGTGTTCTTGTTTAGATTGGGACGAAAAAAAGGTAGTTAAGCTTCCATCTCCCTGTGAATCTGTATAGGTACAGCTTAGGATATCTTAGTTTTGGAGAAAAAAGATTCAAAGAGGTACCCGACCGGTTCAAAGATATTCGATCCCAAGCAATAATAATGAGAAGTATTCCATATCTCGTTGCTCATATCTCTTCCCGTTGCTCGGTACTCCCCTCATTGTTGGTGAGAAGTTGTACCTGGGGTTCTTAAATTACGGCATTCAGGAGCTTAATCCATGGGTAAAACGGAATAGGTGGCCACCAGCTGGTACATGGGATCCATTTCCATTGAGCCACTGAGGCCTCGTTTAGTTTCAAGGGCCGATTATCTTAGGGCTCTAATCCCCCTCGGGGGGATTTCTATGGACTCTCCCACACCACCGGGAGATTACCATGCCAGTTTGGTCAACAGGGGGAGGGGTGGAGATCACGTCCAGAAAAAGTTGCAGTCGTCGGAGGGGGCCAAAACTTTGATGCAGATGGAAGATCTGGAGAAGGAGGAGGGTGACGGTTGCGGTCCGTCGCCATCGCTGGAGGGGAGCTTCGATCTTGAGCACCGTAGGGAGGAGGTCAGGGGCATCGCTTCGGTCGTCGGCGCAGGAGCTCAGAGGCGGAGGAGACGGGGCACCTGATCTTGGTCGACGGCGCCTGTTGTTCACTCGTATCGCTCGAGATGGGGGTTTCCTTTCCGATCTCTGGGGTCGTGGCGTTTCTTCCCGTGGAAGCGATGTGGGTCGGGCAGGGCTACCTCTCGTACAGATGCATCCAAATGTCGCGGCGGGTCTCCCGGGGCCAACTCAGTCCGAGGTTCTCTGGCCCGGGGAAATAGCAGGGATCCCGGGGGGTCACTTGCAACCAAATGAGGCCTGAAAGATGAATTTTTACTTGCGGGAATTTGAAGAGGTTGAGCAACAAAGAGAACAGAGGAAGAAGGTAGTCAGCTTTTCTCTTCCTTCTCATCTCTTGATGCGGTGTCCTTTTCTTCCCATCACGATGGTGGGTAACCAGGTCTGCGCTGCTGGAGTTCTTCAGTATATCCCCCTCTCCATCAACATACAAGAGTATGTGTCGATTTGTTTTGATTGATATCATATAGAAGCTTCTACAAACGAATGAATATGGTACAGTTGTTGCATTCATTATTTTGTGCAGCTGCCTACTGTTTAAATCCTCCATTGGCTTGGTTGAAACACAACAGTTTCACATCTAGTAACAGTTTAAATTCTGCACAAATTATTGGGAATTCCATGTTCTGAACAGGACTTTTAAACTAAACAGAGAAGTCATCACGTACTGATTCTACTCATCAAACAGTACCTCTCGATGCATGATTTCAAGTGGGAAGTGAGATATGCAAGTTCCTTACAATGACAGTTTACTACTACATTGTACTAGAGATATGGTAGTATAGATGTTTTCACCATGTTTCAGTCCTATAGGCTTGTGAAGTTGAAGAGCAACAGCTTACAATATGGTGTATTCCTTAAAAAAATTGCACACAATTTTCGGGATGGCCTAACACAAGTACTTAAACAAACACATATGCGATTGCCACCACATGCCGGTGCACAAGCCAATCGCTCTGCATTTGGTGCATTCCATCTCACCATGAACATGAAGTTCGGTTTACATCTTAGTCGGGATCAGAGGAAGAATAAAGCTACTTCTGATTGTGGCATTAGCAGATGGACATTGGTTTTTCATTTGTCAAGGAAAAGACAACATACAGCATCTTATTTTTTGTGAGAACCACTGAGCTATAGTTTTCCCAATTGTTACTAAATAGTTTCAAAATGTTATAGAAATGCTAGTTAGTATACTGTTCTTCTAGTTAGTCTTTCTGATGTTTTTGCTTTTTTCCATGTTCATATGTTTCAGTTTAAGTTCAACACTAGAGTTGTTATAAGTATATGGTCCTTCCAACAGTGGTTTGCTAGCTGGGACACATTTGGCTATTTGAAATATACTTCTTTCTGTTTGGCATTTGCTTCTCATTTTCTATGTGCTCCTTTTGGTTATATAGATTTCTTTTAATATACTTCTCCCTTCATTTACTCATTTTGCTATACACCTTTTTGCGTTACTTCTAAGAAATTTTTTTAATTATATCTGAAGTCGGCTGTTTCTCTCACAATCTTAGCTGGAATAATCCTACAGAAAAATTAAGAAAATTAGCTTTCTAGTAGCAGCAACACTCTTGTACTAACTATTAAAGCTATTTTTTTCTTCAGAAAATGGTACACTTATCTGCTGGAAATAAGAATGTAATATGTATCTGTGGCATTGCTTTATTTTTTGATTGATCTACATGTATACCATGAGGTGCCAGATCAAGCATTTTGACACACAGTTAAGGATTTAAGGCCGAAATGGCAGATTTATTTATAAGGCCAGGAGTAGGCATTTGCTTAGCATGCCGCATTGCCACTATATTTCTAGTGTTAGTTTTCTAAAAAATTGTGTATGAAGGCAACCTACTATTCTCTCTTCATCTGACTACATGGGTAACATTATTTTGATTATTCAGTTGGTCGGATGCTTAATTTATTCAGGGATAGAGAGGACTCCCTCCTATTCATAATAATTGTCGCCGATTTAGTACAAAGTTGTACTAAATCAACGAAACTTAATATGGATTGGGGGAATAGCAAAATTCATGTTTTGATGAGAAGAAAAGTGAACCTAAAGGCTCTAAGTACTATTAGTAGGACACCAGGTTGCTTCAAGCCCTTGGATAAGAATGTTTCAGTCGCTGGAGAGAATGTTGAACAGATGACATGGATGGAAGATCTCTGGCCACCTGCAAATAGCTATTTGAAGATCAAGATCGGGAGTATTGAGTTTTGTAATAGTGATTCCTGAATTTTTCTCGATGCTTGTTACTGAGTGCTAAGTGCCAGATAGCATTGTTATTCCATGGTTACCAAAAAGATGCCTACTGTACAGAATAATTAGTGGACCATGTTTCTTACGATAACCAAAGATGCCTCGTACAGAAAAGTGTTAGTGGTCCATGTTACTTGCGTCAATTACCTCATTTCAATTTTGGTAGAACCCTGGTGTACTCAGTCCAATAGTATATATAGGGATAATAATAGATCTAACGTAAAATACCTACCATACATGGACACAACCTTATCGGAAACAAAAAATCAGGAATCTCTTGCTTTAAATTTCCAGCTAAGCCATTTGTTTTCTAAAGGGGTTTTTTTACGCAGCAGATTTGTTCTCTCATGCAGGACACAACTGACTCCCATGCTCGTTTTGAGATCAAGGTACTATCCCACGGGTGATATTCTAAATTGCGAGTTGAAAAATGGTTCATCTTTTGTATGGCAAAGTATATGGGCGGGAATTTAAACTTTCAAGAAGGGTAGTATATGGAGAGTTGGAGATGGAGCAAAAATAAATATTTGGGATGATTGCTGGATACCGAATAGCTCTTCAAGGAAAATAGTGACAGTTCGGGCGAATCAAGTGCTTACTAGAGTTCATGAATTAATAGACCCAGTCTCGGGGGAATGGGATGAACTGCTTATTCGTGATAATTTCTGGCCTATTGATGTGGACCGCATTCTTCAAATCCCAATCCATCATCAGGAAAGGGAAGACTACATCGCGTGGCACCTCACGAAGAGTGGCGTTTTTACGGTAAGGTCAGCATATTATAAACAGTGGGAAGTGTGTTATGCGGCAACCTTGGGTGCACTTCAGTCAGGTGGATCTTCATCACATCCGGTGTGGAAAAGATTATGGAACCTTAAGCTACCAGGGAAGATCAAAAAATTTCTATGGAGGTGTTTGCACAATGCCATCCCATGTCTTTGTGTCCTTGCAAACCGACATATTGGCAGTAACTCTCAGTGTCCAGTATGTTCTTCAGGAGCAGAAGATATAATGCACGCCCTTTTTAAATGCCCCCGAGTAATGAAAAATTGGGAAGCTCTTGGAATAGCAAAGGAAGTAGCGGATGCAACGCTAGTGGATCGTGATGGTTCAACATTGATTGAATTTATGCTATGTGATCAAGACTCTCAGCGCATGTATATGGACCCAGTTGAACTACCAGAGTTGTTTGCAACGGCATGTTGGTACATATGGTGGCAACGCAGGCAATTGGTCCGGGGTGAGCAAGTTCAGTGTCCAGTTCGGACTGCTCCAGCAATCTAGGCTTTAACCTTGAATTTTGTTAGAGCAAAAGGGATTTTGACCCAAGTTCCACGTACAAACAGATGGTCTCCTGGCATGACGAGACAGCAAATACTGAATGTCGACGCATCCTACTCAGAAGACGATTTCACAAGAGCTTGTGGAGCTGTTCTTCGCGATAACAGAGGAGCCTTCATCTGTGAAGCTACGGCGAGACTTGACCACGTCCAAGATGTGGTTTCAGCAGAAGCAGCAGCATTGTTGGAGGGACTAAAACTAGCACAGAGCACTGGATGCAACAATCTTTTAGTGCGTATGGACAACCTTGATAGGGGCGAGGGTCCCGATCTTTCGATGAGATGATAACTATCGATTTGGTGGAGACGACTTTGACGATCCGACTACAAACGTGCACGACGTTGCGCCTTAGCAACCGCTAAACCAATCTCCTGAGGTTACTGACGATGCTGGAAGCACAGTCAGCCTGACCATGAAGGTCTATTCCTGCAAGCAATCGAAGAACGAGCAAGAATATGATAAAGCAATCTGAATATCGCAAATATATATGAAGTATTGATAATGGTGGGGATCCGGAAGTGGTCTTGGTCTGGTCATTGGACACAAACGAAGTACACGAAGTTGCAATGGCTAACTTTTAACTAAAGAAATCCCAAGGAAAAAGCTACTAGATGGATCTACTTATATAGGAGCAAGGGGTGGCGGCCAAGGAGGTGGGAGGATGTCCCAAGGCAGCCTAAAACCAACCCTAGGTCGTACAAGGCTCATGGGCCCAAGTGGAGGTGATGCATCACCTTTGGGCTTGTAGTTTGACTCGGATTCTGCTGCAACGTCAGATTGTTTCGTCCGTAACTCAACGTTCCGGACGAATTTGAAGGTGAATCCAATTGGATTGGAAAGAGCACGAAATCTAGTTTCCAACAAAAGAATAATCACCCAATTCGGAGTCCGTATGAAAAAGTTGTTGGCGTTTTGAGTCAGGTATGTCTGTGCAGTCCGAATCTGAATCCAGAACGTAAGAGACTTGGACTCTATCTTCTCTTGGCCCAAAAGTGACGTGAAGGACTTTTTGAACACAACCTAAACTTCTCCTTTTCCCTTATCTTCATATGTGGATTGTACAAATGTCCCATACACCTGCAATTAGACAAAACACAAAAGTGTGTGAAGTATTTTTGTTCTGGATAACATAAATAGATTATTGAATAGTTTGCATTAGAAATCACCTGACAAATATGCATGTATGCAATATTTTTGGTCGTATCTAAGGTAGTCATGTCCTCATCAAACCTGATAGTGGTGCAGGCGCTACATAATAATGAAGGACACTCGATGGTGGCGGCTCCTATTTTGCAAGATTGTCGAGTGATGTTGAGAGAATTTGGGAAGGTTGTGGTAGAACATTGTATTAGAGAGTCTAATATGGTTGTGCATGAGCTAGCTCAGTGGGGCGGTGCCAATACTCCTACCTTTTGGGTGGAGGCTCCGCTGAATTTCCTTTTAAAATTTTTAGCTGATGATGTAAGTGTCATTTGAGTTTTAATAAAGCTAGCCATGGTGGCCTTCCCGTAAAAGAAAAGACTCCCATGCGCGTTGTAAAATTACCTTGACTTCCATGCATGCACAACACATCGTGAAATTACCCTGCAAGTTTACCATCGA